TGGCCATTGGAGGCATAATGGCACTAGTTTCAAAGTCCCCCATTGCCTAATTTGGATCTTAAGGTTGTTTCACATGCATTGTCTCATCATTCCTTTGAGCCTTTAGCCTCCTGTTCATTGTATCACCTTTCACTTAAGATATAATTTTCTTGTTTTTGGCATGTGGATGTCATTGGTTGGAATTATTTGCATAGGACTCTTTATCATTCCACCTATGTTCTGGTTTACCCAGATAGGTCCTTTCTTCCAAAGACTGGCAGCCAGAGAAGGAGAGAAATCCTTCTGACCAATTCATTTGCCAGCCATTTCTCACCTTTACGACCTTTCAGACCCCAAGCGTTTGTTATGTCATGTCAGGGCCCTTAGGTGTTATGTGGCTTGTACTAACTTATTTAGGGGTAGTAGGAATGGACTATTTATTCATTGGGATCCTTTGGTTTCTCATGATTTATCTTCCATTACCTTAATGAGGTGGCTTCACAAATTGATTCACATTACATACTCTGGACTATCTTTACAGGAGAGGAATCTGCTATGAGTCCCATCTTACAAGATTCATCATATTTCTATGTCATTAGCTGCCTGTTTGAATTGCCTTCTGGAAGACATTGTGCAGGTTGGTATGTGGACTTCTCCCAATACTTTCCTCTCTCATTATTTACATGATCTGGCAGTTTCTTCTTCTGAGGGTTTTCGACTACTCCCTGTGGCTGTTTTGACCATATCTGTTGGATTTTAACAAGGAAAGTAATTTTCTCCATCATATGATCTCTTTTTCTTTACAGGGTCCCTTTACTTTTTCACTGGATCCCACTCTGTGGTGAGTGTTGTCCAGTCAGGTGTTCTTTTATCATTCTAATTCTGTTCTAGCAACCAATTTCAGTATACTTACTACAGGTTGCAACAGGTTCTGTAGAAATTATGTGTTCCATAAGACCATCTATCATGGACCGCCACTCATGGACTATCATGAGTAAAGCTAAAGGGTATCCTCTCCATCCATGCAAATAATTGGATTGAATAAATCGGGGTCTGTTTGCTTTTAGAAAATTTAGGGAACTTGTTTCACCTATTGCACTGTTTCCAGAGCACTGTTCCTCAGGACTTCCCAATGTGTATTACCCCACAGGTTCTACTAGTGGAGCTAGGGAGTCCTTACCACACCCAGTTTTCAGTCAATGGGGTGAAGGACAGAGGCTTTTCCTCTAGAGTGTTAGAGTGTGTTCCTCCACTCTTGGACAAGAGGGCAAATTTGGGGGCCTTCCAACCCGGGTCCCTGGAAATCTTTCACAGATGTTGGTAGGAGCAGCACCAGCCTCTGTGGGAGCCTACTCATAATACCAGTTCAGATTTGATCCTATGCTATCTGGTTGGGGTGTGCATGGCCCTTCTTTTTGATCAATTTCTGTTTGTGCATTGTTCATGGAAGGAGGTCCACTATCTCCTCATAAATCCAAATGTGAAGTGGTCCCATTTTAGGTCCTTGTTTAAATACAGTGTTCCATGTCCTCTCCATAATTCCGGGGGCAAGTGGAATGCTCCTTGCCCACTTGGTTGGGGAGTGAAGATGAATGTTCATAATTCCAGACAAGATGAGTTCTGTTCCTTTGTTTGAGTATGGCATACATGATCCTGTCATTCCAAGCCTTGGATGGTTCAATCTTCAGGTGAAAGAGAAGTTTGTCCACTTCTGTGTTGCTTCCTTTCTCTTTGTAATTCTGGTGGTTTGGAACACATCACTCTATGGCTACAGACTGGCATCCAATCAAAAGTATATCTATATATATATATATATATATATATATATATATACATATAACATTGTGGTCCAATTGTCGTAGCCACCAACATGGGATATAGGGACCGAGACCCCTTAATTCCAACTCCATGTTGTGGAACCTTGGCTGTCTGGTTGTGGCTGGCCTATAATAATTACTCATGTTCTGTTCCACCCTTGATACTTATATTAAGATATTAAGTGAAGAACATACCTGTTCTGAATGTAGTGTGGTTTCCCCACTCTGGTACCACTTATCTTGGTACACCCCTGTTCTATGCAGATGCTTTCTGTATCCATAATGCCTACACTGACCCCTCCACCTTCTAGCTATACTGTCAGCAGATGGTAAGTATGTTTTGGAAGTTAACATTTTTCTAAACTGAAAATGTATTTCCAGTAATACTTACCTCCACTTACACTCTCCCACCCTTCCTCCCCAATAAGAGCCGGTGTTAGAGATTGGGATGGCTTAAGTCTCAAAAAAGTGATTACATTATCTGAATGAGGTGCTTATATACAGTACCTAGATAAAGGGTGCATTAATTTTGGTGGAGAGTTTTGCAAATTAGATATTGCCAAGGGCATTCAAGTATGTATAAAAGACTGGAGTAGGTGAGATCAATGCTTAGATAGGCAAAGAAGTAGAAACCCAGGAGATCGAGAAATAGCTATAGTGTCAATGGCGGTAAGTATTATTGGAAATATATTTTCAATTTAGAAAAATGTTAACTTAGAAATAAATAATTCATTCAAAAGCTCTATCTCTAGACTTTATTTAAAGTATACAGTGGATTTCTTCTCCTCACAGTGGATTTCATAAATGTTTAAACGTGTGTTTCAGGACCTTGAAGTTGCTGCAGAATTTAAAGCTTTAGTTTCTTCTGAAGAATTGCTAAGGAGATTACAAGAAACGGGACACATGCGTGTAAGCAGGCATCTTCTAATATACAGTAACCTTGCAATTCTAACTTTCTGATGTGCTTTACATGAAGAATTAAGATATATAGCCAGAAGGTTTATTATAAACAGTATTTTCTCTTCTTCGTTAATATAACTAACTTACTAAAGACAATAAAACTTATTTTATGATGAGGTGAAAACTGCAGTTTGAAATATTATCACTCAAGGTTTGTTGAAGTCATTAGATACTACCTATTAAAATCCAGTTGTCTTTTTGGCATGGATCTTGAGCTATTGTGGTTCTTAATACTAAACTATGCTGAAGTTCATAAAACCAAATGCTTGCTCATACTATAAAGGTGAAAAGATTGAAACTCTTTTCACAAGGAATTCATGTAGGTGGATAGTTGAATGAAAATTACATTTAGTTTTCCATCTCTAGGCATATTTACATGATAGTTTATTAATGTTGCACCTCAGTTTTTCTTTTTTGTTAGCTTAACTGATGAGGGCTGATCATGCATGAAATTGGATTACATTATAACATGGTGTTGTTGGCAAACCTTACTTGAAACTAAGTGCAGAACAATTTGTAAAGCTGAGTAACTGCCAGAATTAAAAACAAAATCCATCACTGGTGTCCTTTCAAAAAATATGATGTGTTTTATTAATGATAAAGGACAAACATTTTACCACAGCTTTGATTTACTTTATATCTTTACAATAAGTCTAACTCTCCATTTACTGTTTGGTATATAAGTATGTGATAGTTCTTGCTTGAATTTTATAAAATATTTTACATTGTGCTATGGATAAAGTTTACTGTATGTAAAGTTTATGAACAGATAGTTTTTTTGGATAAAAACACTACATGTATAGAAACTTAAAAGAATCACATGGTATAATATTACAGAGTGCAGTGACAGGCATTGCTTTTATCTTGATGAGTTTATTTTTCTTTCTTTAAGTTCAGATACTGCATTTTTTCAGAGCCTTCTATACTATCTTCATTTGCAGTATTATTGGTTAACTAATTAAAACTTTGCTATTAAATGCTATAATTTACATAAAGTTGCATGTGCTTCAATATCATAAAAATATGCTTTCTTTCAGTATGAAGTTTATTTTTAAAGAAATTAAACAAATGATACATTTACTTTACTTTTTCCTAAGTCTTTTTAATTGGTTTTCATCTATATATATTCACTTTCATAATTCTATTTAAAAATGTTATTTATTTTTTTACACAAAAATTAATCAAGTTAGTCAGGTATAGTTTTAATATGACCTTAATATGATGGAACAAGAGTTTTTTAATATCCTTATAAGAAAGGCTCTATAATAACTGTACTATATCAATATTTTACTCACCCATTACATAGATCTTTGTGATTATATTACTTCTCAAATCTTATTTAGGTTATTTAATAAGGAGATTTATCAGCTAATGAAACACAGGTACTTGGCCAAAGAATTCTGTGGGTTACTGAAGGGGAAATGTGTATTCATTACATACATTGTTGTAAGCTGCATTTTTGTAATTTAGACATTTGTATTATTTTTGGCTAGAGGTAATTGTTTAATGTCATGTGATGATCATTTTTCTTAAAGATGAAAAGTTCCTTGAAAGTTTAGGAAACTGTTTGAATGATATAAAATGTGAGACTGGAAGATATTGATGATTGATTAGTGAATCTGTTTCATTAGCTGATTGATTATTGAATTAGCAAGTTTGTTTAATTATTGGTTACTGTTTTACTTCATTTTCATGAATACTGGACTTGTGTTTCTATGACAGAATAGAGCTATGCGAACTACTATAGATATGAGAAATTAGGAAGTAAGTGATTGTGTAGTGATACTTGTGAAGTTAATATATATAATGAAATATTAATACTAAAATGGGATAAAACATTGATATTTTTAATTGTTAGTGAAACAGTATATTACAAGCATTCACCATTAGTCTTAATGAATAGCCTCCCAGTGGCACAGCGGTATGTCTGCGGACTTACAATGCTAGAATACGGGTTTTAATACCCATGGTGGGCAGAGCACAGATAGCCCATTGTGTAGCTTTGTGCTTAATTACAAACAAACAAACTTAATTAATAATTAGACGAGTTAATCAAAAACTTAAAAAATATACATGTAGTTTGAAGCTTTTAAATACTTTTAATTGTAATATGATACATTTTATTTTTTCCATTAGGTAATAGCTCCACATAGTTCTAGCCATGTGATGTTTGTACCTGGTAAGTGAAATGATTTGCACCAGTATATCCTAAAGTACAAACACTGATGTTGACTGTTAATAAGATGTTAGATTAAAGGAAAAGACTTTCAGTTATTAGTTACTTGTTTATATGTAGTATACAAATATACACAGTTCTGTACTGAAATTTATTTCCCGGCACTTATTAATCTTCAATTGCACACACTTTAAAACTTGAAACTTTTCTACTCCAGATTACAAATACCACAATAATAATACAAGAAAATGGTAGTATATATCAAGGATTATGGAAAGGAAGATAAGTAAAACAATAGTCAGAAAAAGAAGGACAGGGCTTGAGTCCCATAGCTATTGTTACTCCAAAATAAGCTAAAATATCTTCATGGGTAACATCTGTTCATTTCACACTTTTCTTCTTTGGGGGCTCACCTTCCTGCTGTGGCTGTTTAGATCATGCATATTGATTTGTTTCAGTGACAATAAGATTTAAAGTTTCAAATGTAAACAGAAGTTTAAACAAATCAACAACTGTATTAGTAGAGGTTACCCGTTGGGACACAGGTTCACCTCTATTGAATGGAAGTACGTGGGTAGGTTCTTATTCGGTGATCTGCACCCAGGTCCAAGTGTCACTGCAGGTGAGAGGCCTCAGTTGTAGATACTGTAGCTCTATCCCTCTTTGTCCTGCCTCTTCTTTGTGGTGGTGGTGTAGGTTGCCTTGATGTACCTGGCCTGATGAAGATCTTTCACCAGCTATTTCCTGATCTGTCAATGAGACAGAATCAAGAAGAGCTGGCTCTAGATTTGGTTGCCATCTGGTTCTATAGAGAGATTCTGTCAGAGGCATTGACTCATTAGCAGAAACTTCATCAACATCAGACTCCTCTGACAGAATGCCTTCTTCACTGAGTTTTTTTTGTTTCCCTCAGCTCTCTTGCTTTACTTTTCAATGTGTCAGATTCTTTACTAGAAGAAAAAGAACATTAAATATATATTACGTGTATCCTCTGTTGTGTATATTTGTTTTACGTGTATATATATATATGTAATCTGTGAGTGTGATGTGTATCATAGCTTTCACAAGGAATACAATGATGTGCTAAAATACAGAAACTACTACTCTGGATTTTGATCAACAATTATATACTACACTTATTGAACAGATATTCTCTATATGTACTAAAAATTATGATTACTTACTATGAAGTAACTACCCAAGAACAGGGAAGATGAACCTGAATCAAGCTGTTTACTGGAAAAGAAAAAAAGAAAACACATGTTACAATATATTCTGGGATGTGTATCATACATTTCAGAAAGAGTAAATGATGTGCTAAAATACAGAAACAACTACACTGGATTTTATCAACAAATATATATTGACATTATTCTGTATATGTACAAAAAATTATGATTACTTACTTTGATGTAACTACCAAAGGTGTTTTACAAACTCCGATTACCAGGTGAAAGAAGGCAAAATGCTTGTAAGAGAAGACTTTCAAAACCAAGAGCGAAACTAAAACTGTGTAGTAGATGGTAGTGGAATCTCAGTTTCTGTTGGTTGGCACATAAGTGTGGTGAAAGTGAGAGAGGGTAGTAGATTTTATAAGAATGTGCCCAAATAATACCTTTATACATTTATGCTCCGAAATTCCACATACATCAAGTAGTACTCAAATGTGATGTAATTGGATCAGCCCAACTCTTAACCATATAATAAATGTTTTCACACAGTCTAATTGCAATTTTATTACCCTGGGAAATTCCTGTTGTAAGTGTTGTAGGAAACATAAACCGCTATATCCCATATTGTGTTCTCGGAGCAAGGGGCATGCCACTTCACTGATTAGCACGTGTGTTGTTACATAAACAGTTTTATAACAAGAGCAGTGATTTATTGCTTTAGTTTCAGTAGGTTTCTACTTTAGTCATTGACAGTAAAATATACACAGAAAATATATGTGATATGTTTAGCATCAAATGATTCCAACGTCTCTCATTTAAATCATCATGCGTCACTTCACAACCAATACGAGCGTGACATACGTGATGCATGTGACTCCCTCTATATGCCTCTACCAAACTATCACTTTTCGTGTGGCAGAACTTGTGCTCTTATGTGCTGCTTTTTGTTTATTTAATGTTTCCTTTTCGTTTTTAGTATATTCACAAAGTGGTCTTCATTTATTTTCACTTCTAGTTTCTATTAAGACTTGTTTCTTAACTTCACCTTAATCTCAGTTTATTACAGCTGCATTGTTATTTATACTTTCGATTATTGATTGGCTCTTCCTCTTTATGAAATCTGAAGTTCATGTTACCACTTTGGAGGTCACATCTGTGGCTAGTGCTATGTTTTAGGCCTCAGGTGTGAGCGACCCAGCGGAGGATTTGTCTGTGTTTATTTGCCAGGAGATTGAACATTACATGAGTCAATTTCTGTCTCCAGACCTCACCCTACTGAGTCTGTTCAGGTGGGCAAAGACTTGGATTGCCTATTTCCACCCCCTGATTTTGCCATGCCTTCTCATGCCCTGCCTGAGTTGTCAGTTAGGCCTAATACAGTCTTTCTGGATTTTGTTTCTCAGGTATGTGACATTTTATCCCTTTCCCCTATTTCCTATGAACCTCGTCCAATCTTACTACATGACCAATCTTTCAATCCCTATTTGTTTCTCTCCTATCCCAAGATATTCAGGTGCATGTTGACCAATTTGCCTCACAATTAAGTGATCAGGTTAGCATGCCTCACCCCCCACGGGCTTCAGATCAGTTTGCTTTTGCACTATATAACCATATCTTCATAAAGAAATATGTGTGTATATTCCATGATTCCAGATTTAATAAACAGAATAAAACACTTTTCCATATGTGGTGTAACCCCAATTATTAATTTATTTTTATATATGTTTCTTTAATATTTTCATCAATTCATATAGGTTTCTCTAATCCACATGTTTTAGGTTCTGCAATGATCTTAGCATCATTCATATTGATAATACGATCTTTTTTTTCCTTTTTACCTTGTGAATGTGGCAAAATGTACATTGAATAAACAAAACAATCACTGGAAGCAATAATAAAAGAATGCAAAATACATAAAAATGGAGGCATTGTGAAATTGATTATAGCCTATTACAGAATTATTATTTACCACAGTTTTGCCAGTAAAACCATCATCAGGTACCAATACCTAATGATGCCTTGACTGGTAAAACTAGTTGTTAATAAATGAAGTTTTGTGAAATGTACAATTGTCTTTTTTTTTTCCCCTCAATTCTGTAATTATGGCATTTCACCAACTATAGATGGTTTCAACTATCAATTATATAGCCTATTAAATAAAAATTTCATTATGTAATAAACTGTATCAGATTTAGCTATGCCTTCCTTTTCCAAGATTTTGTAACTATTACAATAAAGGCTAGGTAGAGAGCAAGATCTTAGATACTATGACAAGAAAGACTATATAGAGAGAGCAAGATCTTAGATACTATGACAAGAAAGACTATGTAAAGAGTAAGATTTCAGTTAGTACATATAGCATTATAATATTGTTATTACTTAGGCAAAACATAATTTTTATAGCCTTTGATCTTATTTGGTTACAGAGCTATAAAATAGAAAATCAGACCCCTTTTGTTACTTCTACCTGTCACATCCTGTCCTTCACAAATTATTAATAGTTCTTTCTGATGAGTATTATTCATGTTGACAAATGGATACTAAAGTAGCAATGACACTATGAATGCTATGACAGTATCTTTTATTCTAAATGTTTTGACTACATGTCTTCATCAGGAGATTATGACACTGTGGTGCCTTACAAGAGTATTACTACAAATTTTTCTGGATTAAGTTCCTGGTTGCTTTGCCTTGCCACACCCTGATTGGTCCACTATTGCCATCTGTCGACCACCCTCTGACCAATCAGCATTCTGCTTTTGTTACACCAGGTTTGCAGCTGCTTTCACCCACTTGTAGACTCCCGCTGTGGTGATTAAGCTCTTTACTAACAAGATGTAAGCAGCCTCCATTGCTTTCCTCTGTTGTTTTTCCATCTCCTTGTTAATGATTTTAGTTTCCTTTCATTTAGGCAGGTGCCCTGCTTCCTCTGCATTTGCTGTTGCATTGGTTTTGTTGTAACATTGAGAATAAAAGATCCTGTCATAGCATTCATAGTCTCATTGCTATCTTAGTATCCTGTTCTCTCAGATGTTTAATAGTATATTATTTATGACAAATAGAAAGTCAGAATTTTAATTTGTCAAATGATGTATTATATTATGTTGATTTCTGTACAGAAAAATTTCTGTTTTGCTTCTAGTTCAATAAATATTTCCATGGGAAACACGAGCTTAGCTGAATTTGTAACAGCTCTTATCACATAGTTAGAAAGCCAAAAAATTATGATAAAAGACTTGTAATGCTTACCGAAAGCTTGCAAAATTTCGTGAAAATACGCAAACATATTAAAGGTCATTGTATGGAAACTCTAAAAAGAGCAAATTGGTGTCAATATTTAGGTTAAATCAGCTGAGACCATAGCAAGATTTCAGTTAGTATGATAACAAAGACTATGTGGAGAGAAATATTTTGGTTAATGGGACAACAAAGGCTATTTTGAAAGAGCAAGATTTCAGTTAAGTCTCTTACTATGGGTAGGTCAAAGTGTGCATGCCATCACGTTCTATAGTTACATTCAAAATTCAATTAAACTACTTTATTATCATTCGAGATGAATAAACATGGCATCAACACATAGTTGAGGAATTAATTTTTAGTTCTTAGTTTTATAAGAAAATATTCAAATAAATCCTCATTCTGAAATGGTACAACCTTCTTTCACCCAAAGGTATCTCGACCTTGGTTTGCCTTCTAACCATTACTAAAATTTTATGTCTATTAATACATCAGTCTTTCATACCCTTTATTTTTGCACCATCTCAGAACGTGCTAATCATGTTACTACTCTTCAATCATATTGCGCCATTTATACTAGCACAAGTATCTCCGTCTATTTATCACAATCGTTACTTTCACAGTTGGCATTCTAGAGTATAGACGTGTTTAATTTGTTCTGCATGTGCCTACAAAATTTTGATTGTGCTTGATCACAAATTTATATCAGTTTCAATTTCAAGTTTTCGTTTCTTGTGTTTGATTTCCATTCTTTCTACTGTTTGTTTTATAATTATTTCTGTTTTACAACTTTTAATTTTTTTGTATGAATTCAAGATTTAATATAGCAGATAATGAATTCTTGCAATAATAGACAACAGTTCTGACACGTGTTGTCATATCTCAGGGTTGATGATGTCTGCTTGGGAAGCATATTTCGTGGGGAGTTCGTGTCTTATGCTCAACTGATTATTTCTTCCTTTCATGTTACAATTTTCTTTTTTTTAAGTAGGAATCAACTGCTGTGTGGAAATTTCTTTTTAAGGCACTTTCCACCTGTTACCATGCCTTCATGTAATCTGCTGGTTTAGATATTGTTCTTTTTCCCTGGAGATCTGGGGTAAATTTTTCAATGTGTAATCCTCTTTCTTTCTGTAGGTATACCCATGCTAGTGTGGATAGGCCTAATTTCCAAACTCGATAATTTAGGACTTTCATGTATTTTCTGCTCAGTATTTGGTCAGTTAGATTTTTATACTCCTTTTACCATCTAGGTTAAGTTACTCTAGTTTATATTTGCACATATAGTTTGATTGTAACATTGTTTTTGTTTAATTTTCGTTATATAAATGCTGGTTTTGCATGATCTTTACTGTTTAGGTAATTCTAACTTTGGCTACATTTGTGGGCGTGTTGGTTTATTATATATACTTCTTTTTACCATTTATATTATTTAGTTTGTAAGTACCCTTTTCTTTGCTATTAGTCACATCCAATTGGGGTGAGATTTGAGTCAAAATTTGTTACTATTATGTGGGTGCCTTTTTATTCTCAAATTCTTCAGGGTTGGTTTTACTTCCGTGTCCTTTGTCTTATAGATTTTTTGGGCAGACTTGTATGTTTGATATTCTTTTGGGGATCGTACCTTGTCCAGTCATCTTCTAGACCTCCTACACAAAGAAGCTATAAATCAGGAGGTGCCCACTCAACCAGAATTATACTACCATATTTTTTTGTCTCCAAAAACAGTGGAGGTTGGAGACCCATCATAGACCTGTCCCAGCTGTATACCTATCTGAAGACATCTAACTTCACCATGGAGTCCTTCATCACTTCAGTAGGTTTTTTTCCCCGGGACTTTGGATGACCACATTCGATGTGATGGACACCTATCTTCATATCCAAATTGCCTCAGTGTCATGATGTTTTTTTTTTGTTCATCCACGAGGGTTCTGTCTTCCAGTTCTGGGTGCTGCCATTTGGTCTTTTTTTAAGCTCTGTATGTGTTTTGTGGAGTGGTAAGCTCTTTTGCACATCATCTTCACTCACTGGGTCTTCAGACTCACCATTACATGGAATCTGGGTACTGCTTGCCTCTTCTCATGCCCAGTCAGTCACCCATACCTGCTTACTTCTTCAAGTAGCTGCTTGGGTGGGGTTTCTCATCAAGTTGGAGAAGTCTTTTTAATACCCCTACACAGTATCTTATTCATTTCAAGGTTCCCATCTCAGTTGGGCCCAGCCTTCTCCACTTCAGCTCAGGGATATGGAGCAAGCACTCATGAAGGCACTACCTTTTCCTTCATCTTCCTCCTGTGGCAATTTTACACACATCTGTTCACCTTTGACTGGAGTAAGTCAACATATTATTATTGTTTATCTTATTTTGTTTATATACCTCATATTTCAGGATCCCATCTGGTGGTGGGTGTTACCTGGTCAGGTATGTTGAAAATTATATTTTTATACATATATATATATATATATATATATATATACATCTTTATTATCACTGTATAATATATGTAAAGGACAATCACACATGGACTTCCTGAGCAAAGCAGATGGGGATGACTTGTGATTCTTACAATCAGGGTTTTTCTGCTTTCCAAAATAGGGAATCTCAGACACCCATTGCACTGTCTGCAGTGTGTTGTTCTTCCAGACTCCCCAAAGTGTACCCCCCCCCCTCCTTTTCTGACTGCACTTATTGATCACAAAATAAATTTTTTATGCAAGGCGCTTCCACTGGATGTTTTTTGCCTGGATGCATTGCACTTCACATACTCAATAGTGTTACAAGGTGCTTCCACTGGATGTTTTTTGCCTGGATGGATTGCACTTGACATACTCAATAGTGTTACAAGGTGCTTCTCCTGGATGTTTTTTGCCTGGTCAGACCGATCTTGGTGTATTCATATACAATTTATGGTCCTTTAGCCCTAACCATGTATACTTATATCTAAATATCAGGTACCTTACTATGACTAACCATCACTATGTCTCATGCTAACGCTTGCTACATATGTGGACAATTTATGCACTGTCTGTTGACAACAGGCTGATTTTGTATTACCTGAAATGGTGTTTTGCCTGTTACATTCTTCCCCTATATGTATTACTGTGTTTGTTACTAGGTGAAGAGCATAACTGTTCCAGAAGTAGTGCCATACCCCACATGTGTGCCTTCTTCTCTTATTATGGCACACCTTTTCTTTCAAGGTGGTTGCTCTCCGCTTGATTGAATACTGTCATGCCTTCACAGACCCCTCCACCTTTGCAGTGTGGGATTCTAGCTTTGGGTGAGAGGAGGTAGTACTGTTTCAGAAGTTAACATGTTCTTGCACAAAAATGTATTTCCAATAGGTACGTTCCTCAATTCACCCACTTCCCATCCTTTCTCCCCACTGATATGCCAGTGTTTCTAACTTGTGCCAGCCAATTCTCAAAAATGAGGATTGTGCTAGAATAGTAGAGGGAGGGTAGTCACATGATCAGCACATGTTCTAAAAAACTGGAGCACTGTTAGCAATAATATTTTAGCAATGCTTATAGGGCAAACCAAGGTCGAGAAAGCTTTGAGTGAGATAAACAACTGTAGTTTCCTGTTATGATTTGCAGTCATTCTGAAAAGGAAATATGGTAAATTAGATTAATTTTTTATGGTGGTTAGGGGGTCATTCAAATTGACTTAATGCATTTAGAGCTAGGATAGATAAAACAACAACAAAAATATAAAGTTCTACTGAAAACAATTTGGAATTTACTTAGGAGGCTTTAGAGATTACACAAATGAAATTTGCCAATATTTAGGTGAAGGAAGGTATTTTCAATCTTAACATGAATATCACCTTGAACTCAGAGCAGTTATCACTTTAACTCTATATATTCATGGAGAAATTTTTATTTTAAATTCTTCATTAAAAATACTGAATTTTTGTTTACAAAAGACTTACAATGTTTACTGGAACATTTGCAAAATTTTGTGAAGATACATAAAACATATTAGAAGTTATATATAGTATGAAAACTCTAAAGGCCAATTTGAGGTCACAAACTCAGTTGAATTGGCCAAGCCCATAGTAAGAGGGTAAATTTGAGCTGATATGTACTGCAAAGTATCTGTAGTATATATAGCATGTATGTACTGTTATGCTAACCATAATATTAATAGCCTACACGAACAATTTTCAACAAAGTCTAGTGAGGCAATAATTTTATGCAGGAAAACTTCCTTAGTTTTATGTTTAAGCTACAAGTGAATGTTTACGTTTCTTATAATGTCATATTAAATATGATTTGTACTACCTTTCTTTTTGTGGATGTTTCATAGTATTTCTTAGTAACTAGTTCATGCTATATGGCATCTGTTTACGTTCCAGCTGCAGTGAATGGGGTAATTATAAATGTCAAATCACAGTAAAAAAAAATTGTTTTTAAAATATCATTTATCATTGTGCTAAACTGTGTTATTTTATGTGTTTTGTCTGCTATGCACCAAACTACTACCATTTAAAGTTCATGCTCAGTTTGAAATTATTTGAAAATCATGAATAGGCTCTTACATATACAAATATGGATATAAAGCTGTGCTATCGAAATGGAGCTGTTAGTGATCTTTTTAAGTTTAAAAGTTTGTTGTCAACATAAAATGTCAGTGGAATAACCAGTATGAAATATTAGGTCTGCTTCGGCCCACTAGTGCTTGCATTACTGAAATATATTGTAGAGATAAGATTCTGTTTGTATTATAATAATAATATTTATTTTGCTATTATGGCAGATTATGTAGCTTACATTTTGGCTAGGGACTTGATAATTTCACATCATTATAGTGGAGTAATGCCAACAGAACAGTCAGATCGACTGGCATAATTGAAAACACTTAAAGACTTTATAAAATGTATATGAAGTAGCCTCATATCCAAAAAAAGGATACAAAGTTAACCAATTATATGTATTTTTTTAACAGGGTATTTAAAAGGCAATGAACACTATATATGGCAATTAGTGGACATGACTTGTGGGCATGGTGAGTGCAGTGGTCATTTTGACCAGGATGGTTACCTCCTTATGATGCAGTATGATCCTGCAGCAATTGAAGACCTCCCATGGATGGGACCAACAGTTGTTCTTGAGCCAACTGCCCAGGCAACCATAAGTCTTTCTCATGTGGAGGTAGAGCAAAAATATGTGTTTTTGGTATTTGAAAATCATATTTCTAAAATTACTGTTGGCAATTTTTTAATGAAAATTATAACATAACGTCTTGGGACAACATGGGACCTATTGGTCCATCTTAGCTGTTCCATCCTCTAAACTGAATTCAAACTATTAATAATTAAATTTAAAAAAAGACAATCTTAAAGCCAGTCTTTATCATTCATATAGTTATCAAGCTTTCTCTGAAACTCGCTGCTTTCACAACATCTGAAGGCAAGTTGTTTCAACAGCCAACCACCCTGTTAGAAAAATATAACTTTCTTAGCTGAAGATGATTCCTACCCTGCCAAAATATATATTTGTGTCCTCTAGTCCTACCATTAAGTATGAAAAAATATGTTGCATCAACACTATTAATTCTCTTAACAATCTTAAACACATCAGTCAGATCCCCTCTAACTCTTCTTTTTTCAAGATAAAACAATTTCAGAGATTTTAACCTCTCCTCATATGACAACCCCTCCATTCCAAGCACCATTCTAGTAGCCCTTTTCTGAACCCTTTCCAACAATAAAATATTCCAAATGTGACCTGACCAGTGACCCACACAAGGAAATTATAACCTCTTTAGACTTGTATTCAGTATTTCTGTAGATACAACCTAAAATCCTATTTGCTCTACTACTAGCAACAGCACACTGCTTAAATGGCTTTAGAGACTGATCGACTATTACACTAAGATCCCTTTCTTTCATAACACTATTAAGGTTATTCCCAT